GCATCCACGACTCCTGAACCCCGCAGGATTCAAACCCGGGACCTTCGGTATTGTGCGCGAACGCCTACCATTGGACCACTAGGCCGGTATCCAACGGGTGTTAATGTCTAACTCTGATTGATATACGGATTTTGCGCGACCTCGACCATTTGTCTTTGGTAGTTACTGCCTACACCCAACAAGTTTGAACTCCATTGATTACGTCTTCTCAACTAGAACTCCGAGAATTTCCTCACGAAGCTAGTCACTTATGAGCACATGTCAAGAATGTTTTTCTTGCTGTCAATTTAATAATAATAGTTCAATCGTGATACGAAATAATTTCTGTTCTATAATATCATTCATTCACAAAATCGATTGAAAGTAGAAACCAATTTTAGATAGAATTTCCAATTTACTTTCTTGCTAGATAATCATAGTACAAAACATTTATGCATAAGCTTGATAATATTTCATTGCTGTATGTATAAAATCTTTTCTTGTTTCATAAATAAATCATGTCATACTCCAGATGACCTTGACATACATTTTTGAAACTTGCCTAAAACTGATGACACCAAACTATATATTGTCAAAGCAGTTCATTATTATTTAATCTGAAATATTGTCTGAAATATTTTGAATAGCAATGACTGAAAAAAAAGAAGAATGTATATGCACAATACTTAGAGAATGTGAATGATTATTATTATTATTATTATTGTTATTTATTAGGTAATTGTCCTTTCGAAATGTTTTTTTCTTTGTTTTAAAAAAAATCATTTTATGCTCGATATAGAAAAAATTATCTCATTCTTTTCAAGTATGTATAATATGAAATGTTATAGACGCTTCACTCTCTCAGTTAATCTTCAATGCGAAAATATTTATTCATGTACATGCTCAATTTTATGATTATTTGGAAACGATAACATAAAACTAATAATATTTTGAAATATGTATTTCACAATAATCAATAGTGTATCGCGTAATTGACCTTGAAAAAATCCACCTGCACATTACTAGAATAGCAGATGATAAGCTTCAAAGCTGAGAAATGTTATTTAGCTGAACTGTTGTTGCGTTTATTTCCTTAAAAATTAAAAAATGTGCATTTTAACGGTTAAGAGTAATGCAAACTTAGAACAACAGTATTTAGTATGAAAGACAATCAGTACAACATTACACGGAATTCTTTATGATGGACTAAACTGAAAAATGGCGCATGGAAGACAGCTAGTAAGCATAAACTCTATATCTTAACTGGAAAATACTCACATATTTTCATATGTGTATTTGCTGCTTTTAATCTGTTTCTCCTCGGCAAAGTTGAATGTGGAAGTGTGATTGATATATTACGGGATTATTGTGTTGTGATTACCGACACACACACACACACACGCACGCGCATTCTTCAGCAAAAAATATGTAGTCAATTCGAACTTGACATTACTGGAGTCAATCGTCATCTCAGTGTTGATCTTGTGTAACTGTAAGCAAAAACTGTTAAAAGTTTTATTTTTTCTTCACTATCTCAGTAATTTCTGTGAAAGTAATTGAAATACTCTAATATCACACACAGATCACTTTATTGTAGATGTTTATTGATTCCAGCAGAGATGATCAGGCAGAAGCTCTGGAGGTGGATAGGACAAAACATTGAGGAGAACACTTAACTACATCACCAGACAAGTCCGGAATTCACAAGGCCAGAGAAAAAGAGAACATAATTGAAAGCAGATATGAAAAGAATAAACAGTAAATGGACTGAGCTAGAACGGGGACAAAGTAGGTTGGAGAATGCTAGTGAACAGCCTATGGGTAACAGGCGTAAGTAATACGAACTAGCAATGGAGAATGAACTCATTGTGATCAACATCTACCATGAAATAGCATTTCTTGATGTTGCTGTGCCATCTTGTGTACTAGACCTACCTCTAGGTTACTAGGAGTAACCAACCAAGAAATTCACCTAACTTGATTTGAGTGTTCAGGTAATATCGCGTACCACATACATTGAAAGAAGTGGTATATTAAATCTCTCTTAACGCTAAAGTGGATCGCTTATATAAGTGTAACCGTTGCTATTAACACTACAGATATGATTATTCACACTATGCATTTGTTAATGTGAGAATAAATTTTGAAACTTGATGAAAAACATAACTACGAAATATCAGAAAATATTTAAAATCAATAAGTTACTGAACAGTTTTAGGTATTACTTTATCTGCCTAATAGGAAAACAAGTACTGTTCAGTGAAATTATTGTAAGAATCTGTTCGGATATTCATCCAGTATCCTAAGAGGATTATTGGTCGATTCCCATTGGCTAATTCCTACTGGTAAATTTTATGATCGTCCTAGATATCAATGTCACGTGCTCCAACGCTGTTTTTTATTGGTTGTCCTGACTGTCAATGTCACTTCAAATGTTGCTTCCTATTGGTCATCTTAACTGTCAATGTCACAGACTTCGATGCTGTTACCTATTCGATCAAAATGTATAAATACGCAATATCTGTAAAGTTTTATGACCAGGACCCGGATCCCTAGTCCGAGATCCTGATTCCCTTCTGGACTCGGACCTCGTGCTTTCTGGATGCCTGTAGAATGCAGGTCCTACTTCATATCAAGTCTTGTCTTCTTTAACTCATTATGGGGGTTGGAATAATCAGATTTGGGTAGCATGCCGAGTCACCGGATCCTAGCTCTCGTTTTCCGACCAGGTAAACTCGTAATAGTTCTAGTATATTAAGTTGACGTGTTTACGTACAAGCGTAACAGAACCATACTAAAATGTGCGCGAAATCGATTGTCATACAAGATAATTTTATATATATATATATATATATATATATAATATTGGAATAGATTCCAAATTTCACGTCTGTTATCTATAAATCATAACAATTTGTCAAAGAAGTAAAAAAACTACATTTAATGCATTTGTTTAGAGTTGCTGGTCCAATTGAATGCATTACACAGTTTAATTCTATCTTCGAATGGTTAATTTCAGTCTTTGACATTTAACTAGTTCAATATAATCTACTTCCGTTTAAATATTAATTATTGGCTCTTACTACACTGAGAATATGGCGAACAGTCGACTAACTGAATTTATATGGAATAGTTGAGTGAGTTCTGCTTGATTATCACATTTCATGAATATATATTCTACATTTGATTATCAACTATGAGAATTTATCAATACATACAAAAGAAAACAATGAAATATTTGTCGAAAATATCAATCAATAAAATGAAGGTGTAACGCAATAATTGAAATAGTAAACTTGCTTTTCATTTAAATACTGTTTAAGTATAAAAAGAAAATTCTTTTCTCTAATACTTTCTAATCATATAGCAACTTTGTTGAATTTCGACTAATTCTCATCACTTCATTTTTCTATCACTTAATTCTTTTTAGAAATGAGTTTTTCATTGAAATCATAAATTGATCAATGTTAGACCATCATTAGAAACCTGGAAGCAATGGACGGCCGTTTCATCCTAGTGTGGGACTCACCAGGCAGTGAGCATCAACGATCTCCGTTTGCCGGAATCGAATCTAGTACTTTCGATCTTGCGCGTGAACGCTTAACTTCTAGGTCTAACATTGATCAATACATGAAATTCAATGCAACTCAAACAATCTTCAAAACCATCAATTAATCATTGTTAGACCACCATTAGAAACCTGGAAGAACTGAACGGCCGTCTCGTCCTGGGATGTAACTCACCAACAGTGAGCATTCACGACTCCTGCTCCTCGCAGGATACGAACCCGGAACCTTCGGACCACTGGGCCGGCATCCAACGGTTCGTGCACAATACCGAAGGCCCATGGGTTCGAATCCTGCGAGGTGCAGGAGTCGTGGATGCGCAGTACCACTGATGAGTCCCATACCAGGACGAAACGGCCGTCCATTGCTTCCAGGTTTCTAATGGTGGTCTAACAATGATTGATTGATGATTTCAAATGTGTAAAAAATCTTCAAAACCTTATAGTGAAAATTTAGTTTTCCTTATCAACTAATACACTAACTAGCCCCAATGACAAAAAGAGAAGGCCTAAACAAATAAGACTTTCTTTCCTGGAAATATCAATAATTCAAGTAACTACACTTCGTTGTATTCTTTTTATGTAAGATAAATGAAAGCAGCTAGAGAGTAACTGAGACAGTGAAATAGGAGACAAATAGTACACATGTTTTTTTCTTTTTTCAAGTTTATTTTTTTTACGAAATACATCACAATATTATTACTAAATAATAATAATCATAATCATAAACAATACTAATAATAATAATGACAGAAGATAGAGAACTAGAATAGAAAATTACTAAGGCCAATAAAGCAAGACTGGTCAATCTCAAATTAAGTAAACAATATATATATATATCTCTTGTAGACTTGGTATGGTATGGTATGTAATATATTATCTATCTCCTCTATCCAAGTGTATATATGTAGGCGGCTTTGGGCGATCGAGTAAATGTATACATCCATCAAGGTGGACACACACAAATGTGTACAGAAATTGTAAAGCGTGCAAAAATGTTGAAACAAAGGAACTACATGTTTAACTAATGAAACGGACGTTATATATATAAATATATATATATATATATATATATATATATATATATATATATTCTATAGGACAGTAATTCACTGTCAACCAAACAGAAAGCATCATTGGTAAAAGGTATACAGTTAAACTGAGAGTACTATTCAGTTTTTATTTGCATTGTACATTCATCTCACAAAAGGAATTTTTTTATTCGAAGAAGAATAAAAGTAGCAGCTAAGCAACAACAACAAGAAAACGATACACAATCTGTCATCTGAATAAACAAACAAACAAAAAAATAGTAACCTGAGTACTATTAGAATTCTATTTGTTCAAATGAGGTGAAAACTAGTAGGAGGGGCTAAAAAAAAAACAAAAAAAAATACAATAAACAAGGAAACACAGGTAAGGAAGGAATTTCATGGAACACAGCAGCATGGACAAGTTAAGCTTTAGAAAGCACCGGTGATTTAACTAATTCCTTGTTTAATTCATCATGACAAGTGAATGCACGTGTAGTGTTGAACCAGCACGACCAACACCACCACGATGCAGAATGATGACATCGCATGTAGATATAAATGATCAAGGCAAAAATTATTGCAAAAGAAAAAACTATCACTGCTGTCGCAGACAAATACATCAACACTAATTGATTTCTGGGTCTTAGTGAAAATAATGATGCAGTGGATGATTTCTCTTTCAATGACCAATAGAAATTATTCATGACAGGTGATAGTGGATGCTGTTCTTGCTGCTGCTGCTGATGATGATGATGATCATCATGATCATGAGGATGTTGGTGTTGTGATAGTAACAATGGTGTAAATAAATTGAGTGAATGAAAATCTGGCAAATTAATTGTAGCTAAATAAGCCATTAAAGCATGTATATGCATTGGACGAATTTCTTTGGTAAAATTCAATTGTACACCACGATTAGAATTAGGACCATAAATGAATAATGGGATATGCATATCAGTATGTTCCGGATCATAGCCATGCATTCCTTTCGGATCGAGTAAATTATAATGACTCATATTTAATGGCCATGCATTAGAATGAAATATATAATTTGATGAAGCAATCATCAAAATTGGCGGGAATAATGAATGATGACTACTAGCATTGTTACTAGTAGTGATAGTCTTCCAATGTGAAGGAATTGTTGATGAATTGTATACAGTGAAAGGTGATTTAGTTTGTTGAATAAGCAAACGATCATAAACCTACAAAATATTTTGATGATAGGGAAATAAAACAAACAACTGAAAATGAAAGTCTACTCAGAGAAAAAAATCTATAATTAATATATATTGATTAAACTAGATATTTTCGGGCAGAGTTAGACATGAACACCGTTGGATGCCGGCCCACTGGTCCAATGGTTAGGCGTTTTCGCACAATACCGAAGGTCCATGGGTTCGAATCCTGCGAGGTGAAGGAGTCGTGGATGCGCAATGCCAGGACAAAATGGCCGTCCATTGCTTCCAGGTTTCTAATAGTGGTCTAACAATGATTGATTGATGATTTCAAATGTATAAACTAGACATGTTAATATCGCCCATTTCGTTTCTAATTATTATAGAACAGTGAGTGCTATTGTAATAAAATTTGTTATTATAAGCATACTTGGATTATGAAAAAACACAATGATGAGTACATAATCTGCAAAATACAATGGGATCAATAAACAAGTCAGTTCATTGCACTTAATGTATAGACTGGTGTACATGAAAAAGTTAACCCAAGTTTATATATATATCCTATTAGTTAGTTAGTTAGTGATGAAACTATTATTGTGGATACCTAACTTAATCTTGAAATATTAAAGTTAGAGAGAAATTAATTCGAAAATTTACATCATATTGACTTAAAAATAAACTGAGTTTATTGATTTTCAGTGCGCTTTTTTTATTTGTATCGATTTATTAAGTAGGAAATTAGTCGATCAGTTTTAAAGCAATCACATTGTGCAAAGCAATGATTACTCAGTTCATAAAAATTTTTAATTGATATATCAGTATAGGGTTAAGGAAATTGTTCAGTTTCATTGAAACCAGGAACCGATCAATGTTAGACCAGGAAGTTCTGGGGCAGTCGATTCATCCTACTATAGGACTTATCATCAGTAGTGAGCACCTATCACTGGAATTGGCATCCAATGGTGTTAATGTCTCTCACTTCAATTAACTCATGATATTGTGCGACTATCTACCATTGGTCTTTGAAGAATAACTATTTCACATTCAACACGATAGAACTCGGCTAATTACAACTTCTCACTGAGATACTAAGGTCGTCCTCTCAAAACTAGTCACTAATGAGTATATCATATGCAACTGAATCAATTAATTTAGAAAGTAGATTATTTCTTCCGGGATCTCCTATTAGGGATAGCTTTGATAAGTGAAATCCGATAATTTACATAAAAAATTGAAGAGCGATGACCTATTGGTAGTTGAAACATTTAGTTTTAAACCATTAAACGACAAGTTTTAAGTGTGCTTTGTGCTTCACCCTATTTCAGGCACGAGATTCAGAAAATTTATCAAAATGAAAGGTTTAAAGTGATGAAACAGTAATTTGATGATAAAAACAAATGCCCATAGTATTTTTGAATTGTCATAAAAGGAATTGTAAGTCTACAGATACATAATTCATTTTATACACGTTATAACATTGTTAGTGTTGTATAGCGGAGAAATAACGAATGAAATTCGGGAACATTTCGACTTCACAGGATTTATAGAAAATATGCAGTGACATAGCATAGATTAATGCAAGATTGCATTGCTGCACACTGATTGGCTCTGTCGTATCCAATCAGCGCTAGCCGATACTGAGGGAACATTCTAGAATCTTCTCATGTGAGAAAACTATAAATATACTAACGTCTTTTTTCTTTGGACCTTTTGACTTCCATCTAACCTTGTTACTGGAATATAATCTCTTTTCCTGTCCAACCATATTCTTGATTTGGGAGAACGTCTCCATTAGGCATTAAGAATAGTTGGCTTGTAATAAAGAGAGAATGATAACAAATAGGGATTGATTTAAAATAAAAAAAACCTACTACAAATTATAGTGTCAAGCATTCTTCTTTTTTGCAGAGGATAATTATATATGCATATGACAGAACATCACCACTACACTAATCATTAAACACGTTGTATACTTACTGAATAGGATGATAGTGATGCTAATCAAAGTCTTTATGCATAGAAATTCGTATCAAAGATTACAATTTAAGATTTTTTAAAAAAAATAAGTAAATAAGAAAACGGTGTAGATAACAAAGATTGACTTGTTAAATGTGTAATGACAGATTGACAATAATCAGTGTAATTGATCTGAAGAAGAAGAAATATACAACTTACATCTCTTTCATATCCTGGTTTAGGCCATATCCATAATGTACTTCCACGATTCAATACTCTACTTAACTGTGATCTATAAATCAATGCAAAGTAACAAAGGGTACATTATCCTTAAAATAAACTATACATATATATATGTATGTTAACGAGGAGTTCTACAAAAAGTTACTAGTATACAAAAATATTCAAGCCCGTTTTACTAGTTTTGCACGATAATGATATCACGAAGTAGGGGGAGTAGTTCAGATATTCGACTAACTAGTTAAATATAAATAGAAGAAAAATGGTATATTTTAAATGTGTTGAGTGCACTAGAACAACTTCATATGTATAGTGAACGTCAATAAATAATTGGTATTCTTTTGTTTTGAAGTGTACTCTATGAAACTGATTCTTGAAGTAAGAAGACAGCAGCATATAACTAGTTAACTCTTTTTTCCAAATTCATAGATGAAGCTACTTGGGAATACTTTTTATAGGTCAAAAGAATTAAATATAGACATAGTGTTCATCATGTGGTCACTAGTGACTTGCTTCAAGATATATAATTCTTGGAGTTCTGGTGTGAAACTGTAACCAGTGAAGTTCAATATATATATCACGTGAGAAACTGTTATTCACTGCAGGTGACGGGTGATGGTTTTGCAATATTGAGAATCGATTACAGTTAGGCAATTAACGCCTTCGAATTTCTGCGCAGCAGTATAGAGGTTAGGCAGTCTCGTGCAAAACCCAAAGTCTTGGATTCGAATGTCACGTGAAGGGTTGTCAATAAGCACTGTTGTGGAGTTCCGTACTAGGACGAAACAGCTATTCAGTACTGCTGAGTTCTCGATAATGGCCTATCTAAGATTAGGTCGTCATTTAACCTGTATAAATGTTTTTGTTACTTCAAAGAAGATATTTAATGTGAAGTAATCAACAAAATATTTCATTATTGTCAATCAACTGAAAAAATATAATTATAACTATATTCATTATTATAAATGTTGTTATAGTATAAAATTCTCAATAACATTTATTATAATAAATGTAACAAATTTCTAAGTCGTAATTATCCAGTAATATATTTCATAAATGTTTTATTAAGTCTAATCTACAAGACAATGAAGCAACTTCATCAGATGCAATCCTATAGTAGCCAGTGATCAACAATCATTTCATACGCTATTTCTTCCATCAGGACCCTGGAGCACATGTGCGAAATTAGTTTGGAATCAGGGTTTTTCGGCTCTTCTAAATGGATTCACCATACGAAGAAACCAGGCTGAAGCGCCGAACACTTGCTTCTTGTCCTCTAAAACTTCGTAAACAATACCTCGGTGGTGAAAAGGGAGTAGGACTTTCTTGTCAGTGGCTATAGGAGAGCATTTCACAAAGGAAAACGAACTCTCCTGTCTTTCAACCGTATCAGTTTATTTAAAGGGGGCGAGGATGCAATTACTATGCATAATGATCCAGTTCAACCGAATCGAAAAACAGGAAAGATGAATTGGAAATTACACAAAGCTGTAAAAAGCAGATAGCCCGAGAGTTTGAGCAGATTAACTTAAAATTTACATAAAATATTAGATAAACGAAAAGGGATTTCATCATCATGCATAAATTACTTTTTTAAAGAGATAATAGTTTATAAGTATTGTCTCCTAGAATGAGGTTTAAATGCACAATTTTTAATTTATGTCTAACTACCACTGACTTACTCTTTGAGTGTAGTACATGGTGCTGAATGTGAATTTACACAGAGTAAGCATTGTTTTACAATAATTCGAATTATATCTACTTGATATTTATTATTATTATTATTATTATTATTATTATTATTATTATTCAACTTATGTTATTTTAATTACGTTACATAATGTGAATAGTATTTTATCTTCTATTGTTGTTTTTACTGAATAGCATGGTTTATATGTCGTAAATTAACTATATGTGAACCTCTTTGGATAATACATAAAATTTATGTGAATAAATGATTTTAAAAAAATTATGATATAAGGCACAAAGAATTATTTATTTTTTTCAACTTATTTACGAGCAGTCAAAACCAGTATGTTCAACTTTAACCTCTATCATGCTTGTGTGTAATGCGCTGATGAGAGTACTCTAGTTCATTGTGATATCAAACTTTTGGAATCTGTTTTTTAGACAATGTACTAGAGTCAAACAAAAATCATTTTATTAAATTATGAAATAGCACTTGTATTTCTTCAGTACGCTGGCGGTATATTAAGTTGCTGAGGACGAAAAATGAACGATTTATTTGCAGACATCGTTTACTAACTCTAACTGAAATAGCCAGCCAATTTCAAGAATAAACAACATGTGACTCGTCTGATTAGTATGCATATTCTCAACAATCGAGTCAGTAAAAACGATAATGGAAATAATATACGATACAGCAAATATACATTGGACTATCATCTATCTATGAGGCTGTCTAGGAAAACAACCAATCACTATTCCCTCTAGCCTTATACATTAATTAGCTTAAGCAAGATGGAATTCTTAAATGCATGAATTTCATTACATATCAACATACACGTATATTCATCCTACTACAACACTATCAAAATTGTATCGAACAGTTTAAAATCTACCCAAAGTTTAAAACACTAATTGCCTAGATTTATCAGATTGAATGGACAAAAGTGTGTGCAGGAAGTAGATTGACAAAATTTAACCATGTAAAAAAAAATGAAGTTAACAGCGTATATAATAATTATGAATAATTATTTTAAAAATAAAGGAAAAAATGTAATCATACCTACAGTACAGTACAATGAATCGATAAAGATACATGCAGTGATTTATAGCTATTCTAAATTGATCCATGTGACTTACAATTTGAAATTAATTCATCAACAATACAGCCAATCAAAACATCATGACAATATGATATATATATATATATATATATATATATATATATATATCCATTTTGAAAATAACAGGAAAAAAAATGTAAAAGCTTACTACAGATAATCAATAAAGGAAACGAATAGTTTGAACATTTGTCAATCAATAAAGATCTATCATTAAGTGATCAGTGCTTGATATTACTTACAAGGAAAATTTCAAAACTGACTGAGATAGTGAGGAAAAAGGAAAAACTTTTATGATTTTTTGTTTACAGTAGTTACATTAGATCAACACACTAGGACGACAATTGGCTAAAGTAATGTCAGTCAGTGAACTACGACGTAGAACTCCATACGTACGTGCATCAGTTCAAGTTGCCATACCAAATAAGCACAGAGATTCAATCGTAACTTCAAATCCCATAGTGGTAGATGTAGTAGAAGTATTATGGGTAATGGAGAAGATTAGAATTGGAAGATATTATTCAAGAAGTATAATCCATTGAAATAAACTTAAAAGGTGAATGATAAAGGTGGTGAGGAATTCAAGGAAGTTAGAATTTGAGAGAACAAAAAGAATGGATGATTCTGCATCGTTGCAAACCATTTTGAGCCATGTCACTCAAGGTCGAACCGTCGGTGAATATTGTCTCGTGGACCCTAACCAGCTAATCTACACCTACTTACATGAGTCAATTTAGTTGGTGACTTCGTGGACTTGTGACATGTTTCAGTCTAGCAGCACATAGACGTCTTTCAGCCTACCCCCATACAACGAAACATAGCACGTTGAGGCAGCCGGTGATTAGACATACGTATCACATGTCCCAACTAACTCATTTGATGAAGATTCACTGCTTCATCTAATGATGTCATCCTTACCTAGTACCCGTTTCCTAACAACAGCATTACTTATTCGATTGTAGCAAGATATACGAGCATTGCTTCGAAGACACCTATGGTCGAATATTAGTAACCTACGGATATCCTCTATTTTTACTGGGCCATGTTTCACACCCATATAGTAGTACGGCACGAACTGCCGCGTCCTTTCGTTAGTAGATACATAGCTCGCCTATGCCATGAGCGACGAAGGTTGGCAAAAGCTGATAAAGCCTTCTGTATCCATGCCGAGACTTCATCAGACAACAGGTCATCAGCACTGATGAGACCCGAGAAAATTGAAGTGATCAACACGCTCAACTACTTCACGCTCTATCACTAGTTCAGGCGACGACGCAAGCCAATCCTCAAGCTAAATTTTTCATTTCCAGTGGGAAAGCCACATTCTGAACATGCTTGCATTGTTGCTAAAGGTATTCAAAAGACTATACTTTGTCAGCGTCTTCACCGAATAGACCTATGTCATCGGGATATTCCAAGTCAACAAGTGAAACTCTCGGTAAACATTAAATTCCTGAAAAAGAAGACGAAGAAATTGCTGTCTCCAAAATCATGTTAATGATAAAGTTGAATGGAGAGAGTGGACAACCTTGATGAATACCACTTGAAGTAATCAGTTCCGATGACGGTTCGCCATAAGCTCTGGCTCAATCAGTAGTGTTCGTGTAGAGAGCTTGTTTAAGGTAAATGTACTTCCATGGTACAGCCTTCAATGACAGACAATGCCACCGAATCTCATGAGTCAAACGCTGACTTAACGTCGAGGAATAAAACTATTGTCAGACGTCAAAAAGTATGTTTTAAGACCTGCCGAAGTATGAACAGGTAGCACCTCATATATATCTTGTACTTTTATCATTGTACAGCTTGTATGCGCATGTACGCTTGGGCATTACTTGCCACCTACACATATAGTTATTTGACTAGCTGTATCGATTAACAGTTTGAATAATTCGATGTCATTATCGACTATACATATTTGAATTAAATCCGATATTTGTATCGATCATTAAATAATTTGAATAATAAAGAAATTGTGGCAACGACTCGTGTTCTCTCGTAGCGATCATCAAGACGGAGATATAGGAGAAATCGAAGATAACGAAAGTCTAACGCCACAATAAATTAGTGAGCCCGTTGAAAGAACACAACGCAGTTTCCTGCGACTTCAAAGGAATACATCTCCGTCTCCAATCGATTTATTACTGTGGACTTTAATTACGTTTGCTGAATACTATTATCGTATTTTCATTTCACCTTTATTATTTCATCCATATTATTGAAAATATTTTGACAATATTAACAT